AGTTTCTTCACGAAATTAGATAAGAAAATCAATGGAAAGTGATCAAATTTGGGTTTTTAGGTATCTGAGTAGAATGAGAGAAGTGGGAGAGAGGAAATTAGGGTATTAATCAGATGGAGCACACAGACCAGGATGTTACAACAGAGAGCCAAGCAGGCAGTTAGGTTGGGATGTAGAGAAATAGGTTGAAGTTTGAACTATACATCTGAGTATTGGAATGGATTAGAAGGTCAGATTATTTGTTGGGCTAAAGAAGGATGAGTTCTTTGGGAAGACAGGATGAATATAGAAGTTTTGAGATGGGGTTCTAGAACTAAGGAAATGGGAGAGGCTAGCACAGTATTAAGGGAATGGGATAGAATTTGTGGGGAAACTCATGGAATGGAATGGGATGGGATGAGAAAGGGAGAGAAGCAAAAATGAGCAACACAGATTGGGGAGTTGACTTTAGAAAGAAGAGTTGAAAGGGGGTTTGCGTGCCCTCTCGGGTGCCCCTTCCGAATTAGGCCACTCACGCACCGAGAGGTCCGGCAGGAGATCTTTATTGTAGGGAGGTGAGCAGGAGGTAGGAAGGCAGAGAGAGAGAGAAAGAGAGAGAGAGAGGGAGGGAGGGAGGGGAGAGAGGAGGAAGAAGAAGCAGGAGAGAGAGAACAAAGAAAGGAAGGTCCTTTTATCAGTTTTGGGGTGGGCTATTGCTTATTTATGAGGAGTGAGCTAAAGGGTATGAACATTTTTGGAGCCAAGATGTATCAGGAGAATGCAGCCTGTGAGGTGGCATCACAGCATACTTTAACATGATCAATTCCCTAACAAGAGTTGCCTGGGATAGAGACTTTGAAGAGGAATGGGAATTCGAATATGTGATAGGGCTTGAGAAAGTTGAGTAAGAAGAGTATTTCAATAGGTCAAAGTATGGGATGAATTAGAATTTTAGGGAAAGTACTGAGGTATGAATGAGGAAAGGGCTAAGAAAGCAGTGTGAGGGAAATGGGGGTGAAAGTGGGTGGATATTTAAATATGAGGGTAGTTTGTAGGGAGAAATGGAAGGTTTGCCTCATTTGCCAGACCTGCCTCATTTGGAAATCAGTGAAGAAGATGGAAAGCTAGGAATGGTAGGAAAGGCTGGATAGAGGTGGTGTTGGCTAAATCTACTAATCTCTGATGGATGGGTAGATAAACTGTCAGATCAGTGCAAATTTCTGGATTTTTGGGGGGTGGCAGAATAATTTTGTAGCCTGGTCATATGACTGATATAACAGAAGGTCTTGTTCTTGCTATATAAACCATCCTCTAGGCCTTTAAAATGTGTCTACAGCTCTAGACATCCGTTGCTTGTTTTCTCTATTGCTCTTTCAGTCATTCTAACCCTACTTCTCAGCTTTCTTTTCTTTTCCATTGCTTGGTCTTTGTTGGTGTTGGAAACCACATCTTAGGGTCAAGCTATGTTCCCATTTGTTCCTTAAAATTGTTATTCGAGATTTAATACCTCCAGTCTGTAGTCTTTGAAATAATGCCAACCATTCTCAAACACTGAAGATCTTTAGTTCTGGTTCATTGAGGTAGTGTTCTATGTGATATGTTTATTATCCAAGATTTACAGAAGTTATGGCAACCCAAGGAGAGAGTCTGGGAATGTGTTGTGACTTTGAAATCATCACATATTTTATATTTCAAATCATAAAGGCAAGGAATTCTTCTAAAGTTTCTGGAATCATTCTTATATATTTTATTTAACTAAATGATTAGCCTAAGTTTTACTAATCAGAAGATATAACAAAGGACCTCAGATAGTCAAGGGAGGAACTCTGGTTAGTTCACTATTTTTAGAATTTAGAGAGAAAACTAAGATGCAGGATATACAGTACTTATATTACATAAATATATGTAATGTAGGGGCCAGGGATTTAGCTCAGTGGCTCTGCCACCTGCCTATCAAGCACAGAAGACCTGAGTTTGATACCTGGTACCAAAAAAAAAAAAAAAAAAAAAAAAAAA